GTTCTCCCTTTCCATCAATAGTTTATGGTTCTGCTATTTCTAGACTTGCTCAAAACTGCTTCTCTGCTCGACTTCCAGGATCTGTTTCTGCCTCTCGATTTCAATTTCTACCCAAGCTCTCTATCGACAGTTTCTACTTCTATCGATTCTGTCCGCTTTGATTTGTGTTTCTTTTTCAATTGATCGACAGGTCCCGTTCTCCCTTTGCTCTCTTGAAAACTGACCCCTCTCAATTAACAGCTTCAATCGATAGGTTTTGTCGATTTCTGGCTCTCTCGACTTCTACTTCTTTCAACTCTCCTTTTCTGCCCGTCCTCTCTCCATCGACATGTTCTTAAATCGCACCTCCATCTCTCTCAATCGACCCATGTTTGGCTGCCCACGATCTTCCGATTTCTCTCTGCCCACGTCTCTCTCTCGATCTCGATTTCTGGTCTGGGCAGCAGCCACTGTTTCTTCTTCTTTTCTTTTTGTTCACGGGCTGCTGTTATGGGCAGCAGCCTTGCTGTTTTTCTTTCACAGGTTGCTTGTTGATCTTTTCTTCATGGGCTGCTTCTTGGGCTTTGCTTTTGGACTGTGTAGCAGCTGTTGTTTGGACCAAAAAAACACATAATCAGCACATTTTTCTCAACTTTAATGGCCTCATATAGTTAGATTAACTTAAATTAAATTGGCCCTTTTTAAGCATATATTTAACATTAATTGTAAGGTACTTTGACGTAAAATTGTATAAATTTGCACTTATCAAATTCCCCCACACTTAGATCATTGTCCGTCCTGGCAATGACTTAAGTTAACACGTAGTTATAAAAATCGAATCTAACGAGAATGACAACACATATAGCATATCATGAGTTTGAGATTTGCAACAAAGCATTGAAAAGAGGATGCACACACAATCAAGTAGACACAAGCTAATCTCGAGAACTCTCACGAATGGGATTAACAAAGCAACACTCGATTCACTCCTTGGGTTAAAGTGTATCGCTCTAATCGTCAATGTACTAGCATGTACCTACCATATACTTGAAAAGTCTCTCACTCTCCACTACTTGGATAAAATACATGCTTATAAATCAAAAGGTCTTAAAAGGTGTAACGAAAAATAAGGCTTTGGGTACGGTAGGGAGATATATAGGAAAAGTAACTAAGACCGAACACCAACGGAGAATCCGGCTACTCAACCACACTTTATTTATTTTATTTTATTCACAAAGGACTTTTGTATCCATCTTTGAAGCTCATTCCTTTTCGGACAGGAATAGAGATGAAACGCTTATATTCAACCGTATCGTCATTTTCGTCGTAATTTTTCTCTTTATATATATATTTTTCTCTTTTTGAATTTTCTGTTTTTTTTTCAATCTTTCCTTTCATTTTTTTCTTTAGTTCCTTCTCGAACATACGAATTCTACTTTCAAGTATAAAGGGATATTGGGATCACTCCATTGGTGCTTAGTTGGGTGAGTCGTGTTTGGATTGATTTATGATGTGGGCGACAAACGAAATAGGCTAAGGCTCACAGTAGTGTGCAAAAGGGATAATGACAACATAACGGGTAGGCTTAAGGCTAGTGGTTTAACATAAAAATGAGCAAACAATGGCCTTTATCATGTTTATTAGCATGTAGTTGTCATGTAGTCTTAAAGAGAGAAAACTCAAGTTATAGAGATGCATATCTAGGCATGACGCAATCACACAATAAATGAATTTGAGACAAATATCAAGTATTTAGTCTAAATAAGCTCAAAGTCTCACGGTGTCAAAACTAGCTCAAGAGATTAGCAATAGTCTACATTGACCGATATGGTACCACTAATTAACTCTAAGTGCTATCAATCAAGCTCAATCATGCTATACATGCATCCGAACTCATCTCAACAAAAATTTAAGCTCATTAAAAGCATGCTAACACATTGTCAAAACGGACAAAGACCCTCATTTAAGCACAAAATTTGCAAAAAATTGACCCCTAAAACCATTTATATACCCAATTCATGCAAATAACCCCCACCCCCACACTTAATTCATACATTGTCCTCAAGGTATGCAATAAGTAGAGGATACTCTAAGCAATGAAGGGAAAGGAACAGAAAACTCCCCTGATTTGATGAGTGACCTCCCAATGTAAGAATCCGTGGAGATGGGCGCGTCTCTTCAAGCGTCCAACATCCGGGGTGAACCTGAGAACACAGAATTCCAAGAGTGAAATTGAGAATCTAAAGGCAAACTAAATAACTGAAAGCAATAAATAACAAGAAATGGAAATTTCGTGGGTTGCCTCCCACGCAGCGCCTTTCTTTTATGTCTTTGGCTAGACCATACTCGGTTTAATTCTTGTAGCTTGGTGTGTCCAAAGCTACCCTCTCTAAATCCCCTCCATCACAGCCTTCATAGAACGGCTTTAGCCTATGGCCGTTAACTTTGAAAATCTGCCCCATAGATAGACTTTGTATCTCTACTGCACCATGCTCAAAAACAGTTAAAACGACAAAAGGTCCTATCCATCTGGACCTTAACTTACCGAGAAATAACTTTAATCTAGAATGATAGAGGAGAACTTTCTGACCTTTAGTGAAAGACTTACGTGAAATACGAGAGTCATGGAATGCCTTGGTCTTCGCCTTACAGATGCGAGCATTTTCAAAGGCATCGTTCCGTATCTCCTTTAACTCTTGAATTTGAAGGTTCTCATGCGATCCCGCTTCATCCAAATCCATATTGCATGTCTTCACCGTCCAATATGCCTTATGCTCTAATTCCATCGGGAGGTGGCAAGGTTTACCGTACACCAACCGGAAAGGAGACATACCCATAGGCATCTTGTAGGCCGAACGATAGGCCCACAAAGCGTCATCAAGCCTTAAGCTCCAGTCTTTCCGGTTGGGGTCCACAGTCTTCTCCAAAATGGACTTGATTTCTCTATTTGTTACCTCGGCTTGTCCGTTTGACTGTGGATGGTAGGTGGTGAAGATGCGGTGGATAACCCCATATTTCTTGAAAAGTGCGCCGATGACCTTGTTGCAGAAATGGATGCCTCGATCACTGATGATGGCCTTGGGCGTCCCGAACCTGGAAAATATGTGAGATTTGACAAAATCTGCAACTACACGAGAATCATCAGTTCGAGTGGCCTTTGCCTCWACCCATTTTGARACATAGTCAACGGCCAAWATAATRTAAAGATTWCCRCMAGATGCGGGAAAGGGTCCCATGAAATCCATGCCCCAAACATCAAAAATCTCACATACTAGCATAGGAAATTGGGGCATTTGATTTCGGGAACTAATGTTTCCCATCATTTGGCACCTCATGCAACTCTTACAAAAGCGATAACAATCTCGCATAAGGGTCGGCCAATACAACCCACACTCAAGTACCTTCTTATATGTCCGCTTATGGCCGAAATGGCCCCCCACAAGCATGGGAGTGACAAAACTGTAAAACATACTGAAACTCCCCTTGAGGCACACATCGCCGGATAACTTGGTCCGGACATTGTTTTCAAAGGTATGGCTCGTCCCACATGTAGAGACGAGCCTCTCTCCTAATCTTTTCTTTATCGGGTCTAGATATCTCACTTGGGAAGCTCTTTGAAACCAAATAATTAACAATGTCTGCATACCATGGGGTTTCGCCCGAAATTGAGAAAAGGTGCTCATCTGGGAACTCATCAGTGAGTAGGCTTGGCTCTCCATCCAATACTAGCCGGCTAAGGTGGTCGGCAACAAAATTTTCAGCTCCGCTCTTATCTCTAATCTCCAAATCGAACTCTTGGAGTAATAGAATCCACTTTATCAACCTTGGCTTTGCCTATTTCTTCTTGAGCAGGTACTTCAATACAGCATGATCTGAAAATATAATCACTTTAGTGCCAAGCAGATAAGATCTAAACTTTTCTAAAGCAAAAAAAACTGCTAGCAACTCTTTCTCGGTGGTTGAATAGTTGCATTGTGCACTATCAAGTGATCATGATGCATAATAGATAACATAAGAGCTCCTATCGTCTTTTTATCCCAATACCACCCCAACGACGTGATTGCTAGCATCACACATAATCTCAAATGGCAATTGCCAATTTGGAGGTCGGATGATAGGGGCAGAAGTAAGCATATTTTTCAATAAATAGAATGAACTCTTACATACCTCATTGAAGACAAAGTATACCTCTTTTTGTTGAAGTTCACAAAGGGGTCGAGTGATTTTCGAGAAGTCTTTAATGAAACGCCGGTAGAAACCTGCATGACCGAGAAAAGAACGGACCTCTTTAACACTCGAGGGGTAAGGCAAGGATTTTTTGACATCGATCTTTGCCTTGTCAACCTCTATACCCCTTTCCGAGATAACATGACCAAGTACTATACCTTGGTTACCATGAAGTGACATTTTTCATAATTTAAAACCAAATTAGTTTCAATGCACCTCTTTAAAATTTTGGTCAAGTTATCTAAGCATGAACAAAACGAATCACCATAAACTGTGAAATCGTCCATAAAAACCTCAATAATATTCTCTATATATTCTGAAAATATACTCACCATACATCGTTGGAATGTCGCCGGTGTATTACAGAGACTGAAAGGCATCCTCCGATAGGCGAATGTACCGAAGGGGCAGGTGAACATGGTCTTCTCTTAGTCCTCTCTTGCCACCGGTATTTGATGAAAACCTGAATAACCATCCAAAAAACAATAATGAATACGATCGGCTAACCTTTCTAACATTTGGTCTATGAATGGAAGGGGAAAATGGTCTTTCCTAGTCGATGAATTAAGCTTACGATAATCAATACATACTCTCCACCCATTTTGAACATGGGTGGGCACTAACTCACCTTCGGCATTCTCTACCACAGTAATGCCAGTTTTCTTAGGAACTACCTRGACCGGGCTTACCCACTTGCTGTCAGAGATTGGGTATATCATATTAGCATCCAAAAGCTTGAGTATCTCCTTCTTGACAACTTCCATCATCGGTGGGTTCAACCTCCTTTGTGCCTCTCAGAATGGCTTGTACGCTTCCTTTAATAGGATCTTGTGCTGGCAAAGTGAGGGACTAAGGCCCTTGATGTCAGTGATGGTCCATCCAATCACCCTCTTGTGCTCCTTCAAAACATCCACAAGCTCTCTTTCTTCCTTCGGTGATAGTGTCGCAGATATGATCACCGAAAGGGTCTCTTTATCTCCCAAGTAGGCGTACTTCAGATGATGTGGTAGCGTCTTCAACTCTAGCTCGGGTGCCTGTTCAATAGAAGGCAAAAGTCTAGTGTGAGATATAGGAAAATCTATTTTAGAGACTTCATACCTTGGCTTTGGTACTCGCCCTTTCTCCATCCAATACACCAATTCTGCAAAATCATCATCAAGCTTGTACTCTTGGGCAAGCTTCTTCAAATTTCCACTCGTTAAATCCCTGTCTAGAATCACTTCTAACACATCCTCATTAGATAGATCAAACATAGTATCAGATAAAGACTCGATAATATCAACAAAGCATAAAGATGAAACATCACTCGGATATCGCATGACATCATATATATTAAATTTAATCATCTCGTCATCGAATTCCATGGTCAAACTACCACTATGGACATCTATCTTAGTCTTAGAGGTTTTCAAAAATGGTCTACCTAGCAAAAGCATACCGGCCTTGAAGGCATTTTTCTCCTCCATATCTATAACATAAAAATCTTTTGGAAAGACTAATTCATCCACTTGAACAAGCATGTCCTCTAATACCCCTTTAGGATAGACAATAGACCTATCCGCTAGTTGCATTACCATATCGGTTGGCTTTAGGGGCCCTACATCCAAAGATGAGTAGATGGCATATGGCATAACATTAATTGATGCCCCCAAGTCCAACATGGTTTGATTTACCGAGACATTGTCTACCTTACATGGTATGGTAAACATGCCCGGGTCTTTACACTTTGATGGTAACTGTTTTTGCAAAACAGCGGACACATTTTGACTTATGCTTATCTTTTCTTTACCCTTTAGTTTCCTTTTATTCGTACAAAGCTCTTTCAAAAACTTAGCATACCTAGGAACTTGCTTAATTGCATCTAATAAAGTGATGTTTACCTGAACTTTTCAGAATGTGTCAAGGATCTCTTTCTCTTCGTTCTCCCACTTTGTCTTCTCGAACTGGCTCAGGAATGGCGGTGCTTGAACTATCACTTCGGGTGTCTTCTTCTTTGACCCCTCTTCTTTGACATCCTTTGCACCCGAAGTGGATGTCTTGACCTCTAACTCTTCTTCTTCTAACCTTTTCTTTCTTCTTCTTTCCAACCTCTTGAAGCTCCTTTCTGTTTCTCAAAGTGACGACACTTACATTTGCCTTCAGATTCGTCTCCGTTTGAGATGGCAATTTACCCTTGTTTGCTAATTGGTCAACAGTGGCCTGAAGGTCCTGAATACTCGCTTGAGTTTCCTGTTGAAATTTCACCATGTTAGCAGCCATAGACTTAACTATATCCTCTAATGACATACCTGAGCCACTAGGAGCTTGCGGTGACACTTGATGTTGGTGTTGGGCACTCGGCTGAAATGGTGCCTTCGGTTGATGTTGTTGCTGAAAGCCTGGCGGTGCTTGGAATTGTTGAGGTTGAAATTACTGAGGCGGCTGGAATGAACCTCTTTGCTGAAATTGATGACCTTGTCCTTGCCTCAGGGCATAGCTCAGATTCGGATGTTGCCTCCAACCGTGGTTGTATGTGCTCAAGAAAGGGTCGGGAGCCCGATTGCTTGAATTCTGAAAGTTGCCACCCCCAATGGCGTTCACTTGCTTTTTGTCTTCATGTAAAGTCAGGCATTCGTCGGTGGGGTGTGCCACTGATGAGCAAAATCCACATGCCTTGACTTGAGGCATATTACCCATGGCAAGCTGTTTCACAAGGTTAGTCAAATCAGTTATTTTAGTTTCTAAAGATTTAACATGTACCTCACTAACGCCTTGGCCAATGTCACTCCTTACTCCAAATTGCTTGGAGTTTTCCGCCATGGTGTCTATCAAAGTCCTCGCTTAAGTTGGAGTCTTGTTCACTATAGCTCCTCCGCTCACAGCATCCATCATCTTTCTTTCCATCGGTAGCAAACCTTCATAAAAATATTGAATTAGTAATTCATCAGAAATTCCATGTTTAGGATAACTTACACAAAGGCGCTTGAAGCGCTCTCAATACTCGTATAATGACTCAATGTCCTTCTGTTTGATCCCACATATCTCTCTTCTAAGACCGGTGGCTTTGGATGCGAGAAAATACTTGTCAAGGAATGCTCTCGCCATTTGCACCCAAGTGGTGATAGATCCCGACGGTAAGTAAAAAAGTCACTCCCTAGCTGCGTCAACTAGGGAGAATGGAAATGCCTTCAGCTTGAGATTCTCTACCGTCATGCCTTGCGGCTTCATCCCCAAGCATACCATGTGGAACTCGGTCATAAGCTTGTAGGGGTCTTCGTTAGCTAAACCATGAAAACAAGGTAGTAAGTGTACTAAACCAGTCTTAAGTTCAACACTTACCTCTTTTGCCGGATAGGTGATGCAAAGAGGTTGCTCGGCGACGTTAGGTGCTGCCCATTCTCTTAAAGTGCGTTCGGGATTCGCCATTTCCTCTTCAGTCTCGATGACTGATTCTTCTTGCTCAGAATGAGGTTTCTCTTCTTCTTCCTTCGTTTGGTCTTCTGAATCAGATGACAACTCAATATCTTTCTGTTGATCCCAGATCTCTCAATAACACTAATAATCGAGTTAAGAATAACCAAATTATAGTGTTTTTATTGAACAAAGTGATGAACACTCAAGAACAAATTATGAACATTAAAGAACAATCTTGAGCGTCAAAGGTTTCACTTTATTATTAATAAAAACGTAAAAGCGACATTTAGTACAATAGGCCTAATCACCTATTTATACTAGTAAGCTAATTAGAAGATAACTATCTAGTGAGACTATTTAGCTAATCTTCTATTAACAGATAATGTTTATCTAAACTATGGATAAGCTTTAATATTAAGATAAACTTGAAGTGTAGYTGTCGACTTGTCATCTCCAGCTGTCTTYCATGGTATGATGAATCAACCTTATCTTTAAATCTTCATCGTATGCCTCTGGTTGAATTGCTGAAGAATTCTCTAAGTGTTGTTGCCCAGAGGGGCGATGAAGATGCTCTTTCCATCGCATCCCTGGTTGTTCATCGACCCTCTGGTTGTTCTCCAGACTTATTCAATTCTGCCTTGATGTCTTCATCGGTCTTCTGGTTTTTCATCACTTATTGTTTTTCATTACTTTTTCACTTTATGAATTATGGGGTTTAACAATCTCCCCCTAAGTAATGAAAGAACAAACATAAACTAATCTAGGAACAATTGTGAAGAACAAAGACTAATCTAATAGAAAAACATCAAATTCCAAATTTTCATTGGATGATGAATTCTTTACAGTACTGGAATCAAAAGACATCATATGAAGGCAAAAATTTACAACTCATCATGATCTACCTTGAGATATTTCCCAGAAGCGCATGAGCAGCCTTCGATAGCCGATGACTGTCGATATCTCATGGATGATTTGATTCCCTTCTTCTCTGCGCATGTGATTTCTACCAAGTCTTTCTCTGATGACTTTCTGAAACCATTCAAGTGTATCCGATGAATACTTGAATGCCTCAGTTAGTCTGAAGAATTTCTTTGCCCCGAACTCATTCTTGTAAACAAGTCCAAGCTTGGCTTGAGTTAAGACGGAGGTAGATCTCTTCTCATGTAGGCCTGGGAAGTCTTCATTTGGTGGAGCGCAGGAGAGTCTCTCGATGCCTAAGCGAAGAGCAATTTCAAAATCACTCTTGGCTTGATGGTTTACCAGGGTCTCCATTGTCTTCACAACCGCTCTGTTCGCCATCCCAAATTTGATGCCATGATTATGTCGTTGAGCCGTGTATGCATAGATTTCGATCAAGTCATAGGGATTGAGGTTGATGAGGTCATTTTCATCGTACACGTTGATTTGACCATATGCTCTTTCCACTGGGTACTCGAAGTATCATATGGCTCTATTGGCGAAGGTCCTCACTTTTAGATCCATGACCCTCCGTATCCCATCATTTGAGAAGACAGCCTCGGATGCTTGGGTGGTCTGTCTAATAAACCTATGGTGTAGGAGGTCCATGGACTCTGGAGATAAAATCGGAGGATTGATGGTCAAACTTTCATCGCGATCGTGATACAAGTATTGATGGATATTTTCCATCATAATGGGTTCCCTGGGTGGCAACTCTGGACGTCTTCGTAGCGACTCTATGTTCTATATAATTTCATCGACCAGGCTCTGCAGAGGTTGCCTTGACGAAGAGGGAATATCCGCTTGCACCATGGTTGGTGGGGTTGAGGGTTGTGTTTGGGTTGGTGAAGATATGGTTTTTTGTTGGGTTGGTTCAGCTTGGGTTGGTTATGGTTCATTGGGTTCGGTTTGGGTTTGTGATTGTTGGGGTGAGGAAGGTTGGATTATTGTTGGTTCTGGTTGTATGGATAAGGTGAAGGGTTCTGTGGTGCGGGGGGTTGGAGAAGGAGTTAAGGGTAGGTTTGGTGTTGGTGATGGAATAAAAGGTGGGGTGGATGGATTTTCATCGGTTGAGGAACTAAACACGATGGGTTCTTGGGTAATAGCGAAGGGAATATGTACATTATGTACATCTTCAGAGGGTTGAGCCTCTGGTTCCCTTGCTTGGGTTCCTTCAGTTGAGGGTGGTGGTGGTGTTTGTGATGGTGGTGGTGGTGGTGGTGGTGCAGCGGATTCCATTTGTTGAGCAGCCGCGGCCTGTGTCTCCCCCTCATGAGGTCCAAGACCTTGATCATCGGGGTCTTGATCCTCATGTCATGGGCTTTTGTGTTGGCGACTGCTGGAGCATGATGCTCTGCTCCTCTTCTTCTTCTTCTCCTTCCTGAAGGACGCAAGATACGCCTTCAGGACTGCTTGTCTTCGGCTCTCCTCCATTGTTTGAAGGAGAGAAGTGGTGCGCCTTTGTTCATCAGCCAGGTTCTGGGAGAGAACCCTGGTCGGATGAGTAACGCGATGAACAAATTTGGCATTTATCTCATTGAAAGATGAGACAAGTGCCTTGGACAGAGCCCTCAGATCGGCTCTGGTTGCAAACTCTATGGTTGATGGAGTTTGTGGTGGCACGGAGGTGGTGGTGGATGTAGATGGAGGAACAGAAAGGTTGATGATGAGATTTCCCACCTCTGCAGTGAATGAGGAGAAGGCTTCATCGAAAGTTAGGCCTGCAGAGGGAGGTGGGGATTGGGTAGGCTGGGGGATTTGGGCGAGTATTGTGGCTGGCAGTTGGGTGAGGGTGGTTTGTATGGTGGCCATTTGGTGGGTAAGGGAGGCAAGGGTTTCATTGATAGATGAAGTGGATGGAGGTGGGGCTTGGTGAGGAGTTTGGGAGAGGATGGTTGTTGGTAGGGTGTTAAGGTTTTGAAGGATGGTGTTTAGTTGGGTGGTGATGTAGGTAAGGTTCTCATCGGCCTCAGTTGCGTGGGTCGTGAGGGTGGCGATGGAGTGGATGAGTAGTTGGTTTATTTGGGTGGCAAGGGAGGATGCGGTGTTGTGGTGTTGGGTGATGGTTTGTTGGAGCATTTGGAGCCGTGTTGTATTATCTCGAGTTTCGGTTTCAAGTTCAGAGAGGTGACGTTGAAGGATGGCAAGGGATTGTTGAAGGTCGGTGTTATCGGTTGAGGGTTGGTTGTCAACAATCCCTTGAATGATGAGTTTAAGGTCTTCCAAGGACCGCATAACTGAATCGACAAAGGCTTGGAACTCGGCCTTTGTGATCAGATCTGCAATGGGGGTAACCCCTACAGCAACGGATGCTGCAGGTTGGGCCTCTGCTCCAGAGGCGCCTTCATGGCCTTGTAAA